ACAATGCAAGCAGCATGACCAACCTATTCTTAAAGCGGCATTCCATGTGTGGGACAGGCACAAGAAAGGTCTCATTCCACCGTGGTCCTCCTTAATCAGTTTTCTGGATCAGCCATGGTTCCCCTCGGGCAATCAACCAAGAGCATTCAGTAACTGGAGGAAAGCGCACCTGACCAGGTTCATAGACATAGTTCAGAAGGACAACATAAAGGATAAGGCGATGCTTGAGATTATGGGGAAAACAACCCTCCCCTGGTTCGAATACCTTCAGCTGAGGTATCTCTTCTACTCGGTGAGGGATAGAATTCCTTTTTTGAAACCACTAATGGTATTTGAATGCCTGATGAACTCCAAGATCCTACAGGGGAAAGGCATGATCTCTTGATGTACCAGTTGCTTCTGTCCGACTCAAACTTACCGTTAACCCCTTATCAACAGGCATGGCAAAATGACCTGAATAGGAAATTTACAGCTGAACAATGGAACACAATATGGAACTCACCAATGCACAAATCTCGTTTGGTTCCCATTCACACCCAATCCACTAAGCTTCTTCTGCGGTGGCACCTCACTCCAGTTAAATTAGCGCATATCAGCCAGAGTGCATCCCCCCTGTGTTGGAAGCAATGTGGGGATAAGGGTATCTACTTTATTTATATTTATTTTATTATTTTATTTTATTTCATTTATACCCCACCCTCCCCGCACGTGGGCTCAGAGCAGCTTACAAAACACAGAGGTGTAATACAACACCACAAGGTAAAAACAATTAAGGCACGCAGTGCAATAAAATACAGTTAAAACAGTTTAAACACAGTGGACAACTCCCAGGATCCATTGCGACTAATATGCTCACTCCTTATTGTACATCACACTGGGGTCAATGAGAGCGTCCTTATTGTTCATCACACTGGGGTCAATGAGAGCGGTGCCATGGGCCACGATGTTCAGGTGGCCAATCAGCCTAACCTGGCGGTACTGCTCTGGGATCGCCCGTTGGTGGTAGTGGTGGCTCCTATTCGAAAGCCTGGCGGAAGAGCTCCATCTTACAGGCCCTGCGGAACTGTAACAGGTCCCGCAGGGTCCTGATCTCCTCCAGGAGCTCATTCCACCAGATAGGAGCCGCCACCGAGAAGAACCAGGCCCTTGTGGCAACAAGCCTTTCATAATTGGTGGACGTGCCCATCTGTTGCAGGGTGGTGGACTTTCATAATTGGTGGACGTGCCCTTCTGTTGCAGGGTTCGGGACGAGATCATAGCAGAGGTACACCGCATAACTAGCTACAAGGTCACTAGAGACCCTTTGATAATTCTCCTAAATTTATGGCCAAAGACAAAGATCCCAAGGCAGGACAGAGACTTGATCTCCACCTTATTTTCAGCAGCAAAGAGTGCTCTGGAAAGGCACTGGAAACTTCATACAGTGCCAACAGTGCACCAGTGGCTCCTTAAAGTATGGGATTATTTCATGTTTGATAAACTATCAGAACAAACACACCAGGAAGGTCAGTCTGTCCCCTCTGACATGGGTATGCTAAAATGGGCCCCATTTGTTAAGGCATATAGTGAGGGGCATACCCCTATTACAAATTTAGGGATGGATTATTATTCTCTATATTTAGTCTCTCGATGCTAGAATATGTGTAGCCTCACAGAGAATTAGGTATAGCGTAGGGTATGAGATTGAATGTCAAAGCTGGTGTATGCCTTGTATTGCAATTCTGGTCTATATTTGTATGTACAAGTTTATATTTGTGGAGGCAGTTCCTGTTTATGTGTTGTACTATGCTTAAACTCAATAAACAATAAAAAAGAAAAAGAAAAAAAAATAAACTTTGTTGGTCTTAAAGGTGCCACTGGACTCAAACTTCGTTCTTTTGCTTTAGACCAACATGGCTACCCACCATTATAAAATGGTGTTAGGCACGCTCAAGTTGGGTTACCACATTTCTTTCGAAAAGCAAAAAAAAGAGTACATATTTCCCAATTAACCATTCCAAACAAGCGATCACTATGACAGATCACATTTTAAATACTGCCACTATTTGAGCTGTAATAATTACTACTGACTAGAAATATTCCTAACCTTCTAACCCCCAAAGAGGACTTTTTCATCTGTTTTTTAAAAAGAACCTGTTAGGTATATGAAGCCAGAGCTTCAGACACAAGCTCCATAGACTCTTAGGATTCTAAAATCTGCAGTCGGATTGGTTGCTGTAGCATGACAGACCAATCCGGAAAGACCCTGACCTTTGGCGGGAACAAATCCCATTGGTCCTAAGCTCTCTATTGTGATTGGGCATTACTGTACTAGGGGGTGTGGCCTCACTAGTTCAAAATGTATAAAGTTGGATAGTTCTATGAGTGTTGTTGTTGTGTCTTCTGAGCTGAATAAAGAAATCACTTGTTCAAACGCTGCCTCGATCTCAGTATATAACAGAGCCCCTAAGAGGATGGACACTAAAAAGGAGGACATGTCCTCAAAAAGAGAACATCTAGTAACCCTCTGCTAAAAGATAATTTTTCATTCAGCAACACAACACTAACTTAAACTGAAAACTAGATACTGATATTTTGCTGTTTTGTGAGAACAAATCCTTAATTTCTTTTTGTGGATAGAAATACATGGCTTATCAAATTATGTTTTGCACATACATTTCACATTAAGTTTAGGGTGACTTTAAGGCTTTTCTCTGAGATGTCAAGCTGTTTAATCTGGCCAGTCACTCTCTCTGAGCCTAGCCTACCTCACAGAGTTGTGAGGATAAAATGGGGATCAGAGAACTACTTATACCACCCCAAGCTACTAGGAGGGAGTGTTCCCTCTAAGCTGAGTTAGTGTGAGCTAGCTCACAGTTTTTTAGCCTCCTGCGCACACATTTTTGTTTTAGCTGAGGAAGGCTGGCTCCAGAGCAAACTAATTCATGCAGTAGCCAAATCACTTGCTCACAACTTTAATGCCAGTAGCTCACAAAGTAGGATTTTTGCTCACAAGACTCCACAGCTTAGAGGGAGCATTACTTGGAGGGTGCGATGAAAATGTGATATTTATTTATTAACTCAATTTATACCCTGCTCTTCCCGCGAGCAGGCTCAGGGTGGCTTACATTAGCTGGTACACAGGTACCAATGCATAGGTACCATTTCATTGGGGCTGGCTCCAGGTCACAAGAAAATCCCCCCCCCCCAAGGAACAATTCTGTCCCCATCCAGAGCATAATGCAAGTATTCCTAGTAAAGCAGAATTCTTTCTGATAGTTTCATCAATGTGTGCATGCATGGAGAAAGGCTCTGAGCTGTAGTTTTTTATTTGGTATATTTACTGATTATTATTTTTTTGTATTTTAAGCTGGAGAAGGAGAAGGCTCTGAGGTGTATTTATTTACCACATTTTAGTGTCGATTGAACTTTCTGTATGGCTTTTTTCCAGTTTGGCTAAGCTGCCTTCCGAAAAGGTGAGGAGCAGTGATTCATGAAAGCTCATCCCCAGCCACCAATTTTGTTCATCTTTAAAGTACTATTGGACTCTTGCTCTTTTTAATCTGAAGAAGTGAGCAGCGACTCACAAAAGCTCAACCCTGCTACAAATTTTGTTACTCTTTAAAAGCTACTGGACTCTTGCTGTCTTTTAAACTGAAGAAATGAGCAGTGCCACAAATTTTGCTACAAATTTAGAGTCCGATGGTACCTTTCAGACCAAAAGAGGTTTATTCAAGGTATGAACTTTCGTGTGCATATGAAAGCTCATACCTTGAATAAACCTTTGTTGGTCTTAAAGGTGCCATTGGACAAATGTTTTGTACGCTTCAGACCAACATGGCTAACCAACTGGATAAATTTTGCTAGTCTTTAAGGTGCTACTAGACTCTTTTTTAACCAAAGTGAGCAGTGACTCACAGAAGCTCCTACCCTGCCACAAATGTTTCTACAAATTTAGAGTCCAAATGGCACCTTTAAGACCAACAGAGGTTTATTCAAGGTATGAGGTTTTGTATGCACAGGAAAGCTCATACCTTGAATAAACCTCTGTTGGCCTTAAAGGTGCCATTTGGACTCTAAATTTGTAGCGAAATTTATGGCAGGGTAGGAGCTTCTGTGAGTTTATTCAAGCTCATACCTTGAATAACCTTTGTTGGTCTTAAAGGTGCTACTGGACTCTAAATGTTTTGTACTACTTCAGACCAACATGGCTAACCAACTGGATAAATTTTGCTACTGGACTCTTGATCTTTTTTTTTTTTTAATCTCAAGAAGTGAGCAGTGATTTATGAAAGCTCAGCCCCTGCCACAAATTTTGCTAGTCTGTAAGGTGCTGCTGGACTCTCGCTCTTTTTCTCCTGCCTTTTCCCTGAGTTAACACGTTGATGAGAAAAGAAAGGCGCGATGTTTCGTGAGGCATTTTCTGAGGAGAATTCCTCAGGGGCGCCTTTTATTTAGAAGACTTTGACGGGCCTTTCTTTACGGCTTTTCCCAGTTTGGCTAAGCTGTCTCCTGAGTTATACGATACAGAGAAAAAGGCGCGCTTTTTGCGAGGCATTTTCTGAGGAGAATTCCTCCGGGGAGCCGTTCCTCCCCCCCCCCCGCGCGAGCCCGCCTCGACAGCATCACGTCACGCCCCCTAACGGCAACTGCACGCGCTCGCACTCCCCCCCTCCCCGCTTTCCCGCCGACTTTGGCGCGCGAACCTCAAAAAACAAAAAAAATTCCTCCTTCTCCCCCTCCCTCCTCCCGTCGTCGAACAACAAGCTGCCGAAAAGGGGGGGGGGGACAGCCAATCGGGCGCTAAGAAACCTTCCCTTGATTGACACCGCGCGTCTACCCAATCGCCGACAAAGGCAGGCGGGGCTTGGCGAGAGGCGAAGGCTCGGAAGTCGACGCCGCCGTTCTTTAGCCGGCAGCGGCCGAAGGGGCGGGGCTTCGCCCCAGCCGTGGGCGTGGTTTCGGGGCGGCTATTTAAAGCCGGTCGCGCCGACGGTTCCGTTCCAGTCGCGGCTCGGAGCCGGCGGAGGTAGCCGGGGGGTTGGGGACTCCTGCCGGGAAACCGACCTCGAGGGGCGTGGTGGTGGTCTTCCCCGTCTCCGTCGTGGGTTCGCCCGCCGCCCTGGAGGACATACCGACTGTTCCAGCTCTGGGCTGATTTCCTTTTTGTTTTCCCCGTCTGCTTTCCGCGGAGGAGGCTGTTTTGCAAGCCAGAGGATTTTTACTTGCTACGCCGCCGCAGCTGCCCGCTTCCTTCCACTTCCCGCCTGTTTCCCTGCGTCCAGAGGCGTCGGGTCCGGTCCCCCCCTCGGGGCAGGCGGGTGGGCCATGGAGGAGAAGTACCTGCCCGAGCTGATGGCGGAGAAAGACTCTCTGGATCCGTCCTTTACCCACGCGCTGCGGCTGGTCAACCAAGGTGGGGAAGCGCGGCTGCTACTCGCACCGGGGCCGGGGTGGGCTTTGCCAATGAAACAAAAAGCGACGCGAAGAGCGACGTTTGCAGAGAGGAAAACCTTTGCAAGGAGAGCCGCTTGCAAAGAGGAGGTTTCGGGCCGGGCGCGTGTGGGCGGAGAAGAGTCCCGGGATTTTTGCTCTCTTCCCTGGATTAAATATTCCCGTTTGGGCAGGCATGGGGGGGGGGAGAGAAATGAATTTTTAAAAAGTTGCGGGTCGCGGTCGAGAAACAGCGATCAAAAACCCCATAAAAGGGACTGCTTTTTTTTTTTTTTGCAAAGGGGGGGAGGCAGGCGAGGAGGAGGAAAAGGTGGTGATGGTGCGCACTTGTCCCGGAGCCGTGCCTTTGCGGTGCAAAGTGATGGATGAGCGCCGACGACGGCATCTCTCCCTTGGGATCCTGCTGCGACGTTATATGCTGGAAGCGACTCCGGCTGCGCGGCCGGGGGGGGGGGGCTCGTTTTGGAGAAAACCTGCTTGGATCTCAAGGGCCAGTTCTGCAAATCGGTCTTAAAAAGCATTCTGCGTTGCATACTTAGTCTGTTTACATGCATTCCTTGCGCATCGCGTCATCTCTTTTTTTGTAATCCCCGAAGCCCCGTAAGGTCAGTAGTGTGTTCCTCGTAAGGTTTGGGGAGCGACAGGCTCTGAAGGTACAGCGTCGGACTGAAAATCCCCTGCACGGAGTTGGCGTCGGAGGCGAAGCCTGAATCGAGGACTTCTGGGGTCTCACGGCGAAGCCTGGTTGCCAACGGTGGCGCTTAGGCCTTGGCTGATAAGAACTTCAGAAGAGCCCTGCTGGATCAGACCGTCTGGTCCGGTTTCTCCTCTCAAGGCACCAGGCACGGTCAGGAATGCTTGAGCCACGATGGAAGGTGGGGATGTAAATAAATTACTGGACACTTGGGCTGGTCAAAGTAGGTATGCTTGGACATTTATAAGCTCCCAGGAGCCCTCTGGTTGAATGCTTATGGAAACAGAATGCATGGTCCTAGCCAGTGTTCCCTCTAAGCTGAGTTAGTGTGTGCTAGCTTCCAGCTCACACATTTTGGCCTTAGCTCAGGAAGGGATTGCTCCAGAGCAAGCTAATTTATGCAGTAGCCAAGTCACTCGCTCACAGCTTTAATGCCGGTAGCTCACAAAGTAGAATTTCTGCTCACAGAACAGAGGGAACATTGGTCCTAGCCATAAAAACAGGACCCAGACCAGGCTTAAGACCAAAGGTGGAAGCGGGCTACTTGCGCCGATCAATACGAACAGGCTGGCGTCTTGTAAAAAGGTGCCTCACCCCCCCAAAGGGTGCATCGAAACGGGAGCTGCCCTGCTGCTGTGTCTGACCGAGTTAATGCGAAGTGGTTGTTCAGCAGTAGCGCCTGCCTCACCGCCCACCCTCTGTCTAGACTGGGTGTCCCTTGAAAATTGAACAACGGCGAGAGCAAATTTAGGGAACCGACCGCCTGCATATCGGGCAGGGGCGTTTAAGATGCTGCGCACAACTCTGTAAGGGAGGGCTTTTAGGAGCGAGCGGTCTGTCGTAAAGCAGGCAATCTGTCCCTGTGGATTACTTTTAGAGAAGGAGAAGAGGGTGGAAGGTGTTTTGTTAAGCGCGCATAAGAGAAAGTTGCCTGCCTGGCATCTCCTTTATGAGGTTGAGCAGATAGAGCTTTCCGGGTGATGAGTGGACTAGACAGTATAATCTCTGATCTTCACCTGTTTTCTTGGATGCTCACGTCTTTAACTCTGGTGGAGGTGCCCTTGGCAAGGGAGCTCCTGCAGAAGCCATAGGAAGGGACGGTCCTCCTCTCCCAGTAGACATGGGGGGATCAAGACTAGCGAGTGCGCTACAGAGCTTGGGGGGGGGGAGAGGTAGACCCCCTGTTGCCTTGGGAACAAGGCATGCTATAATAGCCTCTGAAGTGTTTAGAACGGGTGGGGTAGTAGTGGCAGTATCTTCTCTTTGCATCTGTGGACCGCGAGGAAGGTTGAACTCCCTAGGGAGGAGGGCAGATGTGTAATTCAGGACTCCAGATGAGTAAGGGGAGAGATTATTTCTCTATTTTTGGAGGAGGGATTGGCCCAGGGAGCCTAAAGGCATTTTCCTAACGCTTGTTCACCTTCTCTTCTGTGTTTTGAGGTCTTATAATTTACTGTGCCAAAGGGATGTGGGAAACCCATTGGTGGTGGTGGTGGTGCTGCCGGGAGTTACGGATGTCTTATGGAAACCTTCATTGAGTGAGATAATGGAGGCCCTGGGAATCTGGGGGTGGGAAGAGAGCTGTAAATAATGGCTTGTTAATGTGAACAGGTGCCGTGTGTGCCAATGTGTCCCAGGTTCCCCCTCTGCTAGTCCCCAGCCAGCATCTGTTCGAGAATCCCTTCTGGTGGCCACGGGGCTCAAATAACAGCCCTACAGTTGGTGTTTTCTGATCCCCTTTCGGTTCTCTGGGTCCCCAGTGGGCAGGCAGGGAGCCCGGCTGGTGACCTGCCGTCTGCCATCCCCAGAGGACCCAGTATCAAAGAGATGCACCTGCTGCCCTGGGTGTTCTGTTCGGTCAGGCAGTGACACGGAGTGTCTGAAATACATTTGTTGCTGGGGAGGAAACGGCTGCCCGTTGCAGCCTCCGGTCCTCCACAGCTGCGCGGGGTGTTGTCCTGCCCTGCCTGCTCTAGGTGTCTCTTTGATCGCAGTTCTTTCCGCCTTAACAGGAACTTGAATTGTTGAGCTAATGACTGGTGAAAGAAACCAGACACTTTGGGTGCTTCTTAGCTGTCTAAAAGCCCGTGCCGTATTGATGTACTGGCGTAACTTGGGGAAAGAGAGCTACTGGACCTCAAAAATTTCTCTTCCGAAATCGGTGTTTTATGTACCCCAAACCATGCAGGCAGGCATCCCCTGCAGCTCAAAGTTAATCATAGCCGTGGTCCTGTGTTCCCTCTAAGCTAGCTCACAGTTTTTTAGCCTCCGGCTCACACATTTTTGTCTTCGCTCAGGAAGGATGGCTCCAGAGGAAACTAATTCATGCAGGAGCCAAACCGCTCACTCCCAACTTGAATGCCAGTAGCCCACCAAGTAGAATTTTTGCTCACAAGACTCCACGGCTTAGAGGGAGGATTGGCTGTGTCTTGAAGAGATCAGGAATGATTATCTTTAAAATTCTTCAGTTTTGCAAGAGGCTTGGATTAATTTAAACCAAATGAATTGACTGGTTCCCGTTCTTGGTCAGCTGCACATCTGCTGTTTTTTAACGGCTTCGGTGTTTAAAGGTTTCCATGAGGCAGTGCATGTGTGGGGTGAAGCATGATAGGTGTGTTCAATCCATCAGCACAATGAATAGACAGCGTGGCTGAAGAACTGCACTCAAGAACAGCCTCTGTCAGCTGGGCAGCAGTACACATAGGGCAGTAAAGCACTGTCAGAGTTTGAAGAGCTGCTTTTGTCTTGCTCGGCTTCCCTGTTGAAACTAATTTGGTGTTCTGAATTATCGAGTGATACTTGTGTTGAAATAGCAGCTACACAAAAACTAAGCCGAGCTTTTGTAAGTGTGAGATCCCATTGACTGAATATAGCTGTTGGGCACTCCAGTCGGGCAGTGTTTATCTCCAAAACGTTTGCTTGGAACCCAGCCCCCCGGTGAGCTCAACAGGGCTTGGCAGGCTTGCATGAGATTTTTGCCACGCTAAAGGCAGTTTGGCATCTCTGAAACTAAGACCCCTTACCAAATGATTTGGGTCTGTTTGTATGTTCTGGTTTACAATCTGAGAGTTGGTATGCTTGGGCCAGATGGAACTGAATGGTAACTGTCAGATGTTCCTAGGAGGGCAGTGCTTTTTGGATGGCAAAAAATTCTGGGATATGTTTATCACGGCTTGTTGGTTCAGGAATTAGAATCCTGTATCTGTAGCACTTGGCCATAGGTTTTTTTTTTTTTTAAATGGCACTTGCTTAGTCAAGATTTCCAAAGGAAGCTTCCATGATCAGAGGCTACCTGCTTCTGAATACCAATTATGGAAGGGCAAACAGGAACAGTCCACATTTTGCTGTTGTACTTATCCGTGTTGAAATTGCGGAAGGACCTTTGGTCTGATCCAGCAGGGCTCCACTGTGAAGTCTGACATTTGCCGAATCAGTAAGCGGCAACACATCCCGACACAGGCTGCTGGAGGTTCAGTTTTGTCACAACAGACTTCATAGATTTCTCCTACTGTGGCAGGAACCTCACATTCTCAGTTTCATCTCGGAAACCTCAACGCAGCATTATAGGACATGGAAATTCTAATAGATGCGTAATTCTGGCGTTGCAAGCGATTGGGTGTAAATAGATGTTTTCTTTGCAGGGTATCATGTTAATTTCCAGAAGAACTTCCACCAGTCACATCGTGGCTGCAGGAACTTGAATTTTTGTCCTGTTTTATTCATTTCTATCGAACACATGGAGCAGCCTCGGCGTTGATTCAGTCCATTGACTTTGATGGACCAGTATTTAACTAGGTGAGCAGCAGCTCTCCTTCCTCATAGGTCGAGGTGTTTATCACCACCCACTGCAAGATACTTTTATCTGGAGATAAGTTATTCATCTTGAGTCTTTTTGCTTGCTGAGCAGACGCTCTACCACTGAGCTGTGTCCCCCCCCGCGACATTTTGTGTTAACTGAGGATTGCTGTTTCAATCCTCCTAGGATCTTTGGTTTAAAACAGTGAGGAATTTCACATTACCCTTTTAAACCTGTTTTGAAGCCGTTTTTGATCCGCCATGGAGTAAACGGTATACGGCTGCCATTTCACATATGGCTTTCCCCTTCTGGTAAAGAGATGGATCTGAAGCTGTTTGCCATTTCAGACTGCACCGCTTTCCCCCCGCTGTTTTTCTCCCGCGCAGGCGATCTCTGGCTTTTTTTTTAACGTTTGCCTTATAGCGCTATAGCACTACAACACAACACTCCAGGTATTCCAATGGCATTGATA